GGGCCCGCACACAATATTTATGCCAAATTCCATCAAAATCTGTCAGTCGGTTTCAGAGTTATTATGGTGGAACTTGGGTATTATATTATAAGCCTATTTCTCCTTATAAAATTAATTTACAAAATACTGCAATAATATTTACAAAGTTGCAAGAGTTTATGGGGGCAGGGTAAGGAAATGGGAGTTTTTCTATATTTTGGGATTTAAGATTCTTCCATTCCATTCATATCTGAAGATCTTCATAAACAGACCTTCTACAAAATGAACAAAGCAAACTGGAAAACATTTTTGATTTCATCTGTTATTCATTCGTTCATCATTCTACATCTTCACTATCCAGAATGCTTAAACCTAAAAGATAGCACAGGAAACAATTTATGAACTTTTCTCAAAAGGTTCTGCCACAGTAAAAACTGATTGTCTTGTTACTACAGAAACCCATTCCTGAATAATGTTATTTTTAATATTCTGTTCATGTTCACCTTAATTACTTCACTTATTGTATCCTTTCCAATTGACAATAATTAATGAACCAATGAAACTAAGCATGTGAAATACCTCCTTTCACTGAAACTTTGCTGTAGTAACCTTGTTTAGATTGAGAGGAGATTCTAGCCGAGAACAAGGTATAATAATATATGGAATAGATGCCTCAAATGTAAGTAACAAACTGAGCAAATAAATAAAAACAGGATCACATATGAGAGAAATATGGTGAATCTGTTGTTCTGAGACAATGGAAGATTTTATTATGGAACTGTCACAGAAGTCACTATCTCCATTAAATACATATAAAATGTGAGCAACTACCACATATATAATTTATTCTATCAGCATAAAATCTTAAAATCACACTTCACTAGTTTCAGACATCATAAGACAAATCACCATCCACCACAAAATAAAGCAAATGATCAGTCTTTGTTCTTAAAACACTTGTAATAATAAAACAGATGGAATGGAATGGACCACACTCTAATATATACATATTTGTGAATGTCACGGTACTTGAGACTGCATAAGCTGCAGTTATTGCATTGCTGAATATGATATATAAAGAACCTCATTGTCACTGTCATAAAATAGTTATATTTTGTTCATTAAAAATGGCATATTTCAACATTCTCTATGGATTTAAATGAGATTATTTACTTTAACAGTGGTCCAAAAAAATGAAACCACTCTTCTAATGAGAAACTTGTGCATTTAAGAACATGTGCAAGTTAATGGAAACAGTTGAACATATGAAGAATAAGAAAAAGGACAAGAGGCTCTCTTCATCATGTCAGTGACAGACATGATGTATCACAATCTTCTAATATCTTAAACAACTTCATATTGTTCATTGGTTTATTTTGAGTGGAAATGTTATATCAACATGGGTCAAAATATCAGCCATTATGCAGTTATGATCAATGGGAAGAGAGAAAACTTGAAGAAATGAGTAGATTCAATTAAATTATTTTTTAAGACATGAATCAGCTATACAGTAATGGTATTCTACTCAAGTTTACCATATGTTATGAAAGTATGTACTTAAGTGGCTTGTTGTTCAGAATTACCTTCTGCATTGGCTATGCCCAGCTGAGCTCATTTGCAAACAGTATGTGTTGCTTTCCATATGCTTTCATAATTGTTCTGCATGACAGCAACACCACTGATTAATGTGCCATAAGTGCATCTCATGTTAGAATTACTCCTAACACACTAAGTCCTACAAAAGTTCACAAATCAAATAAATGGATGTTAAGTCTGGTAAACAAGATTTCCATAGCGCTGAATCAAGTACTAAATTACTTGTAGACGAAAGTAAGATCGAGAGCCATCATGTCACAGCCACATTTAATCTGTCTGGCCTGGAGAACATCATCCAAAAGAAGTGGTAGCTCATCCTGTAGGAAATAAATATATCAGTCTGCTGTTAAATGCCCCTCAAAAATAAAGAGCCCAATTAAATTATTGTCAATAAGATAACAGGTGACACAAGGACAGAAAGATGATAGGAAGAAATTTATCAGATTACTATCTAATGGTTGAGAATTTGACCCATGCTGATAAGGCAATGAAAGCTACCCAAAGTTCAGCAAATGTTCTGTGGAACACTGTGTATATCATATTCATGCATAAAAGGATATACCTGTCAACACACTTAACCTACACTAATGTTTGAGTTAATATTAAGTGGGGCACTGCCCCCAATATTCCAATTAACAAGCTGCATCTGGCTGGGACACATGCACATACACACACACACAAAAGGCATGTAGTTAGTTGAATTGAAATGCAGATTAAGTATCAACCTTTTTGGATTGTCTTTAAGGTTATCTTGCCACATAGTCTAGTAGGTGGTTATCAACTTAAAAGATTACATGGCTTAACACAAACTACAATCTGAACTTCTTGCTGTGAAAACATAAAATCTTCCATATCAACTTTATCAACAACACAGCTGACCTATTACATGTCTCCTGCCTAGAAACAGCTCCTAGACTACAAGATATTTTGCCTACAATGGTAAAAGATTGGGATGTTCTGTAAATGCAGGAACCCAGAAATTGGTTTACCAGAATGCATTATATTAAATTATGGGGCTTAAATAACAGCCTGAGCTTAAACTACTGGGGTACTAGCATGAAGCTTATGATTAGTTTGCCAGGTTTCATGTAAAAGGTAAAATTTTGATGTAATCACGGTTTAAGCTGTAGATCACCTCTGCCAGCTGTCACCATAATTCTGGTGGAGTCTGCATTACAGATTCTAAATTTTCACAAATATGTTAATTTACAATAGCTGTGTTAAGTAGAGGTCAGGAAGTAAGATGCACTACATTTTCAAATTAAAGAATTTATTATGATGGTATAAATGTAGGATTAATATCAGGACTTAAATAACAGCCCAGGCTGCTATTGTAAGATTCAAATAGTACATCCTAGTAGGGGAACTGTCTTCATACATTGTTGCCTTACAAAATATAGTCTGCTGCAGCATGGAATATGTATAGGATCTGCCAGCGGCAATGGGTGTTTTTCAGTGCCCTGCGACAGGCTGTATCCAGGCTGCTCAACTTTTTGACTTGTGAGACTGCATGGCCAGCAAGGTCTGCAAATAACCACCTACTTTTTCCTTCAGGGATACCTAAGACAAGGGTCTTTTAAAACAGTCATCACAAGGTATACAGATGGAGTTAGAAGATATGATGCTAATTCATTGCAGTGAGTGACGCAGAACATGTTATTTTCAACAAATAATATATGGACAATTAACAATTCTACTTGCCTTTTTCCTTTTTTTAATAATGTTCCAATTAATTACCTATATGCCTGCAGCAGTGCCCCAAAGAAAGCCCAATACCACTGGCATGTTCAAGATGGAACTTTATAGTGCTACCAAAGGACACTTAACACTGCTTAAGATGCAAGCATGACTCATAAGTGAAGCTTATATTTGACCACACACTAAATTTAGTTCACTGTAATACAGTGCATTCACTGACAACGTTCAATGCAGCTATCACTTCCTAGCTGGAATTGAATGACTCACTGCCAAGCGCTATAAGGTTTTCCTATAATATAACAGATCCTGCTGGGAGCCAAGAAGTGACAGATGGGTTCAACTTTACCAGTTTACTTACCAATGTTTCAATAAAATAAAGAGTAGATGTTTCTAAGAGCACAAACCGAAGGAACATGGAAATACTTTGTTTATAGATTAAAAAAGAAAAGTTGCTAAATGTACAATGATGCTAGTTGTGTAATGACAAAACCTATCCAAATTGTGTAAGTAATGTAAAATGTTTATTAATATGTTTATGTCATATTTAAGAACTTAGAAGTTATTTTGGACAGGTTCTTTTACATTTGTGTAATTCCTTTCTAATGATTTTCTGATATTTCAGTGCTCATTCCAATCACAGATCACACAACTAGTGTATATTCATTTAAAAACCCATGTCTTAGTTTTCAGAGATGATATACAATGCTAAAAACACAATACTTCCTATATAAACTCTGTAAAACATTCATCTCCAGCCACCTACTTCTTTAAAATTTTTTATCCTTACGCAAGTTACTGCCAACATAACTTTTCATTATCTGATACAATTTAGGATTTGAGACTTTCGTGGCGAGTACAACCAATAAAATCTTCTTGGGCAATCAGCCGCATCAACTGGTTACCGTAGTAAACCAGTTGGCGCAGCTGATTGCCCGAGAAGATTTTATTGGCTGATACAATTTCTTTTAGTATAACAAAATAATTGAATTAAATGGCTTTGGACTGATAAAGTTTTATATCATTTTCTATAAGAGAAAGATGACGTAGCTGACTGCTGGTACGTTAAAATGCCAGCCTTTAATATTGGAAATTCTGATTAGGTTCCTGCTATGTAAAACTGAATAGAATGTAACCAAAGCTTTGTTTCAAAGGTCCTTGCAACCTCGATTATCAGGGCAATGAGTAAGCCACGCACATGGAATCAGTTTTGAGATATAGGAAACTGACGCTCAGGGCAGAGCCTTGGCCTGACCAGTGGGGAGGCAGCAAGGACCTCTTATATGTTGGTATACATCTACCAGACTACATGGCACTACAATCCAGTAGTTCTTGGCACTCCTGTTCTTCTAGTAGTGAGGCAAGTCAGTGTCAAATTCATTGAAAATAGCAGGCAAAATTATAATATTAATGTATCACATCTTCAACTTTTTGGGAAGAAAAAAAATTCCTGAATTTTCTCTGATCTTCATTACAATTCTTGTTAGTTATCGCACAGAATTTTGCAACTGTAAAAATAAGTTATCAGGTAACTGTTACAGTATGATTGTCTTGTAACTTAGTTACAAGGCATGAACACATTTTGCACCACTCTTCTGAACACTACATGCATTTCTAGCAGTCCATGAGATAATCTCTGATAAAATGATATAAGATGTTAGTGTAGAAAGGATCATCAAAGTTATAATAAAATTACAAAGCGTTCCAGATTCTTTACACAACATGAAATATATGGATTTGTGCTATGAAACAGTGCACTTTGTGAATTTGTTTTTACACTCACTGCAAGACCTGTATTCAGTTACTGATGAGAAAGTGTTATGGGAATTTTATAACATAAATTTCAATACATATATTTAAAAAAACTGTGGTTGCACAAACATGCAAAGAGATTAAGAAACAAATACAATACGTTACCAATATCAGGACAATGCCTTTCTCAGGGGGTATGATTTGTCTATCTTTATATCTAAAACTGAAGTAAATCTGAGCCACTTTAATCAAACACCCACAGCATGTTTTATTTTTTTCATGTAGTACACATGGATTTACTATGAACTTCAGAGTGGACCACTCAGCATTTGATATCCAACCCTAACCACAATATATATTATACTGTCTATGTGGCATATACCACATGTAAAAAGCAAAATGAAGGTCCGTTTCCCCGCTACAAGTCTGTTTACATTCATTGACAGTATCCCACTCTTTCATAACACACACATATAGTAAATATACATATTCAAATATGTATTAACTGCTAAGAGGAATAAATGCAGTCCTTCCATTTGTAATATTTTATTACACAAACAGAATCTCCAGGCCCAAAAATTTTGAATTTCATTCACATAATGAACATTCACTAACAAACATACATACCTTGAACAGGTTAAACTTGGAACATACATGGAGTATTTAAAGAGTGGGACACATTTTTGTAAAATATTTTGTTTTAAACACAAATGTAAACAAAACATTTAATATATTAATATAACAACCTTTATTTTTTTCAAATGGAAAACCTGGGATACCAGAACCCACCGAGGGCTGTAGAGCAAGAGAAGAAGGAGAAATGGAAAACCAAGTATTCCAACATTATTATCCCAACAGTCTCCATCTCATTAAAGTACTCTGCAAAATTAGTTACAAGCTTTGCAAGAAACATTGCTTGTCTTTCACAACACACCAAGACCTGCCCGTTGCCTAAATGTCACAGCATCAAGGGTTAGGGGGAGGGGTGGGTGGGGTGTTGAAGAATGGTCACTTTATAATGAAAATGACACTATTACACAGTGAAATATACTTAAATGTGTTAATATCGAAATGGAGACATCTGTTTGTGGCCAACATTTTGACTTGTGCTATCAATAACTTACCTCTGACATTAAAAAGTAAAAGAGTGTAACATTCTGCCAACCTCCTGTTCACATCAGCATACAAACATGTCTATCACATTCAACATGTAGGCCAAACCCATATACCTTGTAGTTCATCAGCAGGAGTCTGAACAAGCTATTTTGAATTCCTGTTCAGTCATAACAAAAATTCTTGGACACTTTGATCTGAAACTGCTAATGCTTGCAACTTGCAATACATATCAAAGGAACAGACCATGTTTCTAATCAATGAATTCCACAACATTCCTTGTTGAAAATATTTTTACTCAAAGTAAACAAAACAAAAGAAAAAACAAATCCAATGAAGGCAACAACATTATTAAAAATATAGATAACTTTGTAACTCTTATCAGACTCATACAACATACAACACACACATTCAGTATGAACATCAAAAACATCTAAACTGTCAACTATTAAGTATGAATTTATTGAAAATGAACTATTCTGATTCCTCGCAATATGACAAATGAACTTATAACTAAAAAAAGAAAGAAACCGAAGCTGGTTCTACCATGTCACCAAAGTGAACTTACAGAACAAAGCTGTCAATATTGATCTTCAGGGTAGTAACCCTGTGTGTTTCTCTGAAATGTTGGTATCTATCTACAAGACCACATCGAGTTACAACCCAGAAAACCAACACTGACATCTTCACTCCATGTTAGAATCACATAACTGAAACTAAAGCTACCATCAAATTGAATGAATGGCAGACAAGTCAAATAAAGAGATTATTATTGCACAAGCATCCATCTGGTAAACACCTATACCTGGTCTGATGGATGTTCTTGGCTAATGTCCACATGTATCCAATCAGTAATTAATAAGGCATTTTAAAATATCTTGTTTATTTTCACTTTGGAGTTTTAATGAATTGCTATGCATTACCAATTTCTATCAATAAATAAAGGCAAGACACATTTAGCATGTGAAATCCAGTGTGCAGTTAAACTGTCAATTTTTATGAACATTGATGATATTGAAGGATGCCAAGAAATGATGATCTTCATGAAATGTTGCCTCAACTGCCCACACATGCTGATATTCAACTTGCACAAGTGTCAAATGTACAAAGCCAACCTCACCCACGCAGTGTGTTGTTTCTCAGAGTTCGTGGGCAAAGGCTAGGTAACGCTCGGTGCCTCACAGCTGACTTCTTTTGCACCACAGCAGTAATTGGTTTTCTCCTCCTACCTGCTGGACAGAACAATAATACTTTAAGTGTGAGCTCACCTGCCCTAGAATGCTGAAAATAGAACGTTCCAGGACATCTGATATATGCAATTTGCAATCTGTTCACTCAGATGACGTCATTTGGAAAACACCAATTGTCACCGTGATGAAATAAAGAAGCTTCTAATGTGGATTTTTTTTAGCAAAGTGAGAATAAATTTAGAGAATGGGTGCTGAGGAAGGCAAGATATCAGGAAAACTGGCATTATAAAAAAACTACTAATGTGTAACACTTTATTACAAAAATATCAGCCATACATCAGTACAGCACATTCAATATTTCACAGTAAATCTACCAGTTGTCTTCAAGTCTTCTTTACAGTCCCATAATCAAGCACACTAACATCTGTATTTAATAATTAAAAATACATTTCTTTTCAAGAAATCTTATGACAAAAGCACTAAGACTGAAAAACTTTTAAAAAGCCAACAGTTTTATCACAGTCACTAAATGTTGCACTGCTACAAGCTTGTTTTTGGTTGCTTCATCAAGCAGTCACAGCACAGGGAGGCACATCAACCTGGATTAAATCACTCAAGAATATTACTGACAATCTAAAAACACATATTATATGCAATTTGCAGGAGAAAAGAAAGAAAACACAGTTTATCACTGCAAGGAACATCCAAATAGTTAACATATTCACCTCATTAGGGCTCAGGGGAGAAATAAAACAGTAATTACCTTTCCCTGTATCCAAATAGTAAAATAAAATAAAATAAATTACTTCATATACAAATATACCTTTATTTTGAAGTTCAAATAAATAGCACACATCATTATTTCCATTAGGAATTATCAACAAAATAATTAAAAAGTCTATTATCAAATGGCTTCTATTACTAGTATAGTCGGCACAGTAGTTTTTGGCCGGCGGACTAGCCTAGTCTGTATACCTGAGGTGGTAAGGTTAGTGTATTTGTTTTGTTTGGGTGTTCAGTCCGATAAGCTCCTCGGTGCAGTCAGCATTATACTATCAGACAAGTGACTCGCTCCTAGCCTCCCCCTTGAAAATTCCACAGGCCAAAAACTACTGAGCTGACTATATGATGTAACACATCTAATAACAAGAAAATTATGGCCAGTTCCATAATTGTTGATTACATATAGACTGAACAAATATCCAAAATATAATTAATCTTTCTACAAATTTAGATAATGAGAAATAAATATATCTGTAAAAAATCTGGAAAGGTTAACAATTTATGAATATTTGCAACTGGTAGATCAACTAAATGCTGCAGACTTCATTAGCAGACATCAGTACAAATTTCTTATACAGGAAACACTTTATTATTAACCTGGTTAATGCCAAAGTATTGCAAACTCCACTTCCTGTTAACACCAATATTGTCTTGTTTTAACCGGAGCTGTGAAAAGTATGTATGGGTGACTATTTGGAAAACTTTTTAGGAGATAAAGTGGTTAAAGAAACACTGAACACATTACCTCAAACATCCTGTATATCGAAGCCATATTCATGCCAAAATAACTTTAAAAAAGAGAAAATAATTATTTCCATAATGTAGATGTCTGAAGAAAATATCAAAAGTACAAATTTCATCCTGTCTTCCACTGAAAAAGTGCTACAGCAAAATACCACACATATGGTGATCATGTCTCTCAGCTTGTGTACTGCACATTCACAATCTAAAAAAGCTTGGAGGAGGATTAAATCATAACAAATTCTAATTGTGTTGGAAAGAATTGGCAATGTCAAACCATCTACATCAGGGTATCTAACACATAATCTTGTTACAGCTATGCATACCATTCTGTTCTTCTTTCTATGCTCAAAACCCGTGCTACTTCAACATATGTAAAGGTACCAAAGACCTTCTGTCAACAAACAAGTCACAGAGATGAACAGGGCAATATGTTTATGCAGAGAACCTGGCAATAATTACAAACACTACTCACCTGCACTCACACTGACTATCCTAGACACCACAGGTGGTGCAAGTTTTGCTTTTAGTCCATTTGATTTTGAAGATATTTTAGGCTGCAACCTGCTCTTGACCCTAGATCGTGTAGCCCTCACAAAATCCCCATCGGATGATGAGATTCTGTCATCACTGAGGCTGTCTGATTCTGTGCCACTACAGCACGCCTCTTGTTGTCGAAGCTCTTCTCTCCGTTTGATCACCTGTTCCATAGCATATGTGATCGGATATGAATATGGTGAATCAACAGGACTACTGCAACGGCTGTTGAGAAAATACACGTATCTTGTAAGTTTAGATTGATCAGCTATTATTTAACGATGATATAATGATAGCAATCAAGCAGAAAATCAATGGCCTTACAACAAAGCAGACCCAGGATAACCAATGGTTATATTAATATAATATATATTCCATGTTAAGTCCTTTGTCACCATGGCATAATGCATCCTCATGTTGCAGATGAAGAAGGCCTCCAGATATGCAGGGTATATGCTAGTATATTGAATAAGGAATCGTGAGCAGCTGACAAGGGGTGGTCCTCCATCCTGGGGGTTGGGCATGGGGGCTAACAAGTCCCCATCATAAAAGACCAGAATGTTACATAGGGCCTGTGACTTTGGCAGATTCTGTGGAACTTAAGAAATGGACATAAAACTAGAAGTCAGATTTAGCAGGAATACAGGTCAAATCATACAAGAGTGACACTAAGCAAGGAGATGATTACACATTCTTCTATGGAAATGGGAATGCTGATCATAAATTACGAACAGGTTTTTCATACATAAGGTAATTATCGTAGCAATAGGATGTCACATACAGAGTCAAAAAAGTTCAATAAACATCCATCTGGAAATGCTGGACCTTTTTTTTTTACTTTAACTGATGTCCTGAAGCATCCCTATTGTTCATGGCACATAATTTAGAAACATTCTCTACAATACTAAGAATCTACTGGTAAGATATTGTTGTACTGAATGCACATACACCAAGAGAGGATGTGACTACAAAGGACAAGTTTAGCAGCACATATCTTATCAATTCCCTCGGTACCACATAAAATTCTGTTAGATGTCAATGTAAAAGAGGGGAAGGAAGACATTTTCAAATCAACAATTAGGAATGAGACTAAATGAAACTAGTAATTACAATAGGATTAGAATAATAAACCCTGCCACATCAACAAATCATTTTCTGGAATATAATGTTTCACATCACAAAATTCATAAGTACATTTGGACTTCTCTTAATTGAAAGACACTCAATCAGACTGATCATATCTTGATAGGCGGCACACAACAATCATGTGTGCCTGACATCTGATCTTTTAGAGGGGCTGATTATGATAGTGAACACTGTATTCTGATAGCCAAACTTACAGAGTGTCTATTGGTGAGTAAGTGAGCAACACACAAGTTTGATATGCAGAGATTTAATCTCAAGATGCTAAATGACGCATAAGTAAAAGAACAGCGTTTGGCACAAAATCTCACATTTGCAGCTTTGGAAAACTTGGATGATAATGTGGACATCAACAGGGCTTGGGAAAATATTAGAATATAAAAATTTCAGCCAAAGAGAGTTTAGGTCATTATAAGTTAAAGTAGCATATAACATGGCATGACAAAAGAACATTTAAAATTATTAGATAAAAGAAGACTTTGCAGTGTGGATGCAGAATTCAAGCCAAATGAATGGATATAATATTGGTTATGTAAGACATGGAGCTAAAAGAATTTTCTGGACGGAGACAAAATTAATGAGCCTGAAACAAACAGTAAGAATAAAGATATGAGAAAACTGTGTAGTGACATAAATGAATTCAATAAGCGGTATCAACTTGGTATAATATGAGAATGATGATCAACTGCTTTTGTTAGCTATTGAATGTACAAGGTGTCAGGATGATTAAAATATATATACAGCTAAACCTAGCTCTTCTGAGGTTAAGACTGCTACTGAAAATAAACTACCACATATTGATCAAATACCAGCAGAAATTATACAAATAGGAGGTAATAAATTCTTTTTGGAATATGGAAGGTCAAAGTTTTTTAAATTAAATAAATTTATTATATGTAAGAAAATAATAAATTGGTAATTTGTCTGAAAATATCACATACTTATACGCATATACCAACATTTATGAGTGTGCAGGAAGGGTAACCAAAAAGATTTTTAAGATTTACACACAAATGCATATTCTTACCATTATTACAAATTATATCATCATATTCTTGCTTCAAGAATGCTACTGATGATCATAATGAACTCTGTGAATAATTTTATACTGCAAAATTAGCAGCAGTAGCCCTCTTCAAGGGCTGTCTTTGCTGTCGAAACAACTGACAGAATTCAAACAATCCTGATTGGGTAAAATTGTTTCAATATAAGGCATACATCCAAAGCACGAGTATGTTACACTTACACCAAGCAACACAAGACAACGAGTTTCTTTGGACTACCCTCACCTCTCACTTTTGACTTTCTTTCCCCCTGCAATGGCAGGTATTGATGCCTTCAGTCTCATTCTTGATATTATCTCCAACATGGCTGGTGTAGGGTTACTGAATGAGGATGTGTCAGCTGTTTGGTGCTGAGGTTTAGCTGCTTCTGGCACTTCTGGTAATGATGGTGTGAACTTCTGCTTCACCCGGTTTGACTGACGCTGCATCAGCACCACGGGTTCAGACTTGGCCGAGATGGTAATAGCCAACTTACGGTTCAATGCTGCAAGTTTCTTTAATTGCTTTTCAGGATTGCCAGATATTATTTTCTCCCAACTAAACTGTTGGTGTGATCGCAGTACTGGAGAGGATGGTGAGTTTCGAGTCATTCTACAACAACAACAAAAATGTACAAAAATGTATATGCAGTTATTAATTCCAAAGGGCACATAGTGTGGGGAAGAATTCATGCTAAAACACTGAAATGTATGAAGTTAAATAATGACTGGCATTACAATTAATGAGGAAGAAGATTTCCTCCATGAAGCAGTCTTTCTTGAGAATCAATTATCGTACACTCAGAGAGTCAAGAAATTCCTGCCTTCTGAGGCCTGAAGGTTCCTTATAATGCACATAAAAGTCCATCACTGGTCCCTAGTATTAGTGAAATAAATCTAATCCACACCCTCCAACTTATTTTCCTAGAATCCCTAAAGTAAGTTTTTAATAATTATAGCTGAAATTCCTCTTAAATTTTAAAGCAGTAAAACATTTATAAAAATGACTTTATACAAGTAACTACTGTGCATAAATCTTAATGTTTTCTGCAGCCTTAATAAATTCATGAAATACAAGTTTAACTAAAGAAGTATTAAAGCACAAAACTATACAATTCATTTCATCTAGGTGTACTTAAACTTACCACTAAGGCATATACTGTAGTACTTTGCATATTTAAAGAGTTCAGTTAGAAAGAATTCAATCCTAATTACAATAATGAAACAGAAGTGATCACACCTGAATGTGAATCTTGTCAACAGGTCTATAAAAACAAAATTCAATATTGCAGCAACAATGACAAAACACAGTCAGCTGTTCTTAATGATGGAAGTCCAGTCACTCCAACCATAGCAATTAGAACAACGTAGCTTAAATATGCATGCTGCTACAAATTATGTGTTACATTTGTCATGCAAGTTTTACACAAATCGACATGTTATATTTCTGTATGTACGCACACACAGTAAATTATAGTTAGAATGTGAGTGGGACTTGTACAGCTGCAGTAAACTGTATGCAACACTTTTGTTAACAAAGAATTGGTCCTAATATGCAATTATTAGACTATGTTTTACAACTTTACTTACCTATTGAAATTGTGAGCCACACAGGGCTGGCAAAGAGCACTGCGAATTATTTTCTTGGGCTTCAGTTCCATTATATTTTCAGGTTCCTCTGTTGCTCTGCGTTTAACTCCTCGCTGCAATTAAACAAATTAATTAGTGCAAAGTGAAAATTTATAAATGTTGATAAAATGTGTTAGGTGGACAGACTCATGTCCACATGCACACATTCTCTCCCTACAAAAACTACACACTAATGTGAAGACAACTGTCTTCTAGAACGCTGTGCTGTACAGTCTGGTAGATGTTTACTGGCGTTTCAGAAGTGTCGCTTCCATCATCAGAGTAATCTGGCTGAAATCTGTCTCCATCATAAGGTAATACCTACTCTGTTCGGTCCAATCAACAGAGCAAGTGCCTGTCTCCAGACAATAGTAGTAGTACAAGGCAAGGAATATAATCTAAGACAGACCATAAACACCTATGAAGATAAGATTAATATACCACTCCATAGCCCATGAAACAAAAGCAAAAATTAGAAGTTAAAACCAAAATTAAAGGCCAGGTTCAAAATGATCATGTGTTAAACGAGCAACATAGAAACTTCAAGAACCCAACTGTGCAAAATATAAAAGTTAAGACAATAAAAAACATGGTACATACCAAAAAAGGACTCTTCAATAGATAAACAAGTTTCAATAGATTATGTAAAATTCTTAAACAGAAATTGAAAAACACAAAATTTAATTGACGCAGTCTCATAAAACTTTAAATTTAGCTGTGTTGAAACCTGAAATTCTGATGGGAAATACTTGTTTCACCGACTTAATATCTGCTACAGTCACAAGGAATATTACACACGCATTGGGCACAAGTAGACTCCTGGATGTATATATTAAGGAGCATACACATAACCTTAGCCACAGTCTGTTGGAGAAATAAAATTCAGCTCAACATGATTATGAAGAAGGCCACCAAACATAATAAAATTAAGCTAGAATCTTACAAACTGAACCTGCAAGAGAAATACATGGAATCAGCTCTATGTATCTGACAGTCAATCCAATCAGTAAACCCTGTTTATATATATCTCCCACCTGAACTTTTTTTAATAGCGAGGAAGTTTGCAAGTAATAACACAGCTCAGTTTGATGTCTTATGAGACTTCTTCAATTCTGTATTACAAACGTCATAACAAACCTTCAGATTTAAGGAACACATTTCTTTATATAATATTTTAATTCCTTCATTTACACTTTCAATTTCACATTTGTGTTCCCGATAAAAGCATAAAATAGAGATTTTACTGTTTCTTGACTAGTTTAGTGACTACTAGTTTCTCAAAAAGTCCTCTGAACCACAGTTGTACATGAACTGTTCATCAACTGCAGTTGCAAATTTATCCATATCATTACTGTTCCAAATATAAAATGCAACTTTTGTTCAAACTGGAATTTACAAAACTACACATCTTATAGATAATCTATATGTATTGGAAAATGTTCAGATTATTAGTACATAATACACTATCATGTAATGTTTATGGAAATGGATGTACACCATCAAACAGGATATAATGAATATTGTTTGGTAGGAAAATGTTTAGTGAATAATTTACCTTCTTGTTTTTAATAATTCTTGGACACAGACGAGCTCCAAACACAAGTTTTCCATCATCCACATAACCAGAATCTTCAATACCCTGCCTCAGTAGGTCTCTACAGAAAGTATAGTCTGGCTTTGTTTGAAAACCAAGACTAGACACATACTTCAGGTACTGGCTCAAAACAGCTGAAACAATATTCAGAGTAATGTAAGAACTCCACAAAACAGTGATTTGTAGGACTTCCTGGACACCGGCACCAGACAATTGTAGATAATAAGTGCTCAAAACACAAAACAACCATATTCACAGCACCTTTTTTATGATAAATGCTGCACCTTCACAGGAAAAACTTCCAAGAATCAAATAAAACAAAATTGTATACACTTCTTTCTACACATTTTTATTCAGGCATCATGCATGCAAACACACACATCTGTCTACAGTATTTCTCAAGATGTAAAGCTTCACCTTAGTTCAGAGGTTAATACAAGATGAAAATGAAGATGAGTCATCTCTGCTACTCTCAATAATGAAGAACTTTCAGATATTTTAAGTTGTTAAACCAACAATTTCTAATGACTTGTAATAACCTCCCTATAATGTACTGAACATCATGGAATACAGTTTTGCAACATTCACGCTGCCAGAGTGAAAAATACTAAAATTGAGGAATATATTTACATTGAATAAAAATTTTCTTGGATATTATCCATCGTCTAGTAAATATAAAACGTAAAACGATGTTTCGGAGATGGGATTAGCTCTATCTAGTGGGCCCAACTGTGTAGGAACCCGAAGACGGAGATAGAATCCCATCTCCGAAACGTTGTTTTACGTTTTATATTTACTAGACGATGGATAATATCCAATTTTTATTCAATTGACTCTTCACCATCGTCAAGAAGTTTTACATTTGAAATATATTTACATGTCTCCCTTAGTTTATACTACAGACTCAACTGTTACCAAATCAAATATCACTACCAATATACAGATGCTGGCAAAGGCATGAGAGCAGATGTAAGGTAATTCTTAAATATGACACACACACTGATTTTCAAAGCTCATATTTTAGAAGAAACAGCATACGGGATTTGAATTAAAACAGTATATATTATATGAATTTAAAAATGTGTATGTTGCAAATGGTTTAAGGCTTTATAATGGAAGAAATGAACTGAATTTATAAACAACAAAAATATGTTGTCAACTCAAAGAGGCCTCTACTATGTTAAAAATTAAATATCTCACAGTTACTAAACATTTAGCTGAGACTTGAGTGTTTGTCCAACCTTTCATCACCTGAATAAGAATCCTAATAATGACACACACAACAGACTCTCAATTATCCATTAGAAAATTATCTATTTTTCAGATCAAGCACAGAACTTTCACCCCCACTAAAACAATATAAATACAGTGAAACCTCTATCCATCGGTCCCAGAACTATCGTTTTCCCGGATGCATCGTCCGTTTTGTTCGGTCCCGAATACATCCCATATAAAATAATGTTACATTTTCCCGCTTCTATCGTTCCTCGAACTATCGTTTTATCGCATCAAAAATCTTAGTCCCGGCCCACAATTTTCCCGCAATGATCGTTTCTGAGAATTTAAAATGCTAGGTTTTGAGATAAATTAATACCGAAAGACGCACAATGTTTTTGGAATAAACAGTAGCGGTAACCTGTTATGTCGCCCAACCAGCACATTCTTTTGGAATGAGGGTCAGCGGTGCAGGGGTGATAGTTGGAGTGAATGGCAGTGCCCATTGTCAGAAATTTTACGATTTTAATTAGGGTGCACTCATATTTCGTTCCAGCGATGCCAGATGGCATGTGCAGTGTGAATTTCTTCACAAATGCTTTTATTACAAGTACAAAGGAAAGGCTGGCGGCACTTTTCATTCTTCTGGTTCATCTCGTTTCCAGTGGTTCAGGGTCTTCTACAGCTACGTTTCGTTGAGTTCGGCAGTAATAGTATTTCCATTCTTCCTGTTATGGTCCGCGAAGGGGGGCGGGAGTGGTGAGGAAGACGGCGAATGCGAGCCCGAAGCTGTGCCGAGTTTTGCCGAAGCATTGGCAAACGTGAAGTCGTTCTTTTATGCGCGTAATATTAGTGAACGTGACGAGGAAAACATTCTGAACGTGGAAAGGGCTCTGTTTGGCCCAAAACGTAAAGTTTCGACAAACCAGTTGTCCATAAAAGACTTTTTTGGTAAAAAGAAGTAACTTTGAAAGAGAAACATTGTTTTTTTTAAAATTTTTAATGCTTTCCCGCATCTATCGTTTTCCCGTATCCATCGTTTTATTTTCCCACCCCCGCCGAAAACGATGCATCGAGGTTTCACTGTACTTTAATTTCAGTGCGCATCTACTTAAACCAATGCTACAACACAGTCTGATTGGTGTATATGCAGTGAGTGAACAGCAAAATTTGTGTGAATTGCACTCTCGTAATCAGTGCAAAACAAATTGGCTTACAAGTAACAGAGTTACCTCAACCCCTGTAAGTAGCTTAACAATAGCAGATTAGAACTACTTTCTCCCACCTTGTTATTGCATTCCTAGCATTCCAGACGATAACTTGCTGTATTTTGCAATTTACCCTATCTACCCCATTTCAAAGGCATCCCAGTATAGTTCAAGTCAGCATATAGGCACATTTTAAGAGTGGGTTGTACTTACAGCAGTTATAGTTGTGTAAAGGATGTAGACAAAATGTAAGCATGCAGCACTAACAGTTAAAGAGAAGTTTGATATAAGAAGTAAATAGAAGAAAGCACCTCTATAAAATATCTACCAATTACAGACTACTTCCAATAATGTGTATATGTATATCTAAACCACGTGTAAAATAAATACGTCTTACAACGTAACCACCAGAACATCAGAGACATCAGTTACAAAATGTATGAAAAATGAATTACATACTTAATGTTTTCAATTTAATAAAGAAATATTTACCCCTATATGAATTAAACTGATGACAATCCATTGTTTTGTAATATCTGCAGCATTATCCATTATTGAAAATAATTGAGTCTGTTGTAAGTATGTCAACATTTTCAAAACAAGAATGTATATTATATATATCACAATCCTGTAATCTGAAGTGGTTACTTAACAAAAATTGACTTGCAAAAATTATCTCCTGCTAAGCAACTGAACATTCTTAATTACAATTCCACAATATATCCTTTCTAAGCTATTTCTTTTAGTTCTTTGAAGACAAAATGTAATTATCCCTGTACTAAGACAATGTAAAGGACAACTTCTACAAATTTATATTATGCTTTAAACATTTACATTTCACTTGCAGTAATATTCAAAAAATAACCTTTATGAAGAATGAACCCTAGATATATCAGTAAATCTCTCAATAAACTGTCTAATCTCACCTGGTGGATCTGAGTTAGGGAAGCACCTCCGCAAGAGTAGAGGAATGTTGGACATGAAACTCTTCTTTTGAACATGGACATACTCTGGATCACGAATGTTGTCTTCCCATGGCAATTTGCCACACAGCCACTGAAGCATGTTATAGCCAAGGATTTCTAGGTCTCCACGTCGAGAGTGTGCTGCAACATATGTGCACAATTTGTATTTCCTGTAAAGCACACCATTGGTATGGCTACTAAATAATGCCCTCTAACACATTATAAGTACTCTCTTGGTTCTCAAAGATCTGTTCTTCTATACTGAAATATGATGTCTCAAGATGTTCAAGGCATGATAAAGCACATCTTGTGGTCTTCTGGGTTATGATGCTGTACAGACTTGTATGTGGTTACCAACATTCCTCTGAAATGTTGATAACCACCTGTCTTAACTCAGAAGACCTATTTCAACATTTCTACCATCAGAAGAATCTCAAATATTAAAGCACATCTTATTTGTGTTTATGCTAACATACGCCTTAAATCCTGAGGTCAAGATATTACAACCATGACTCAACATCAGAATGCAGCATAAAATAATAATATAATATCTAACAAATTCCTCTAAAAAGAGGTAAAGTTGGAATGACTAATAAATCAAGATTATATTCATGAAAAAACTAAAAGCATATTCAAATTGGGGAATGCTCACTATTACTCAGTCTAGAATCTCTTTATTTTCCACCTATCTAAAAACATAAAATTAAAATGTACAAATTTATTTATTGGTGTATGGGTGTGAAACTTGATTTTTCACCTTAATGGAATAACACAGTCTGACAGTATCTGAGACCATGATGCAGAGGAAAATATTTGAACCAAAGAGAAAGGTGGTGACAGGAGGTTGCAGACAACTACACAATACGGAGCTTCATAACTGGTAAAATAATTATGAAGATTTCTGTCTTCTGGGTTGTTGCGCTGTGTAATCTGGTCGATGTTTACCAACGTTTCTGAGGTCATACTGCCTCTGTCATCAGGGCGATGAATATGCCAATTAGGTGGGTGAGGCTAGGTTTATAGGAGCTGGACCGTGAATGGAGTAGCCTGCCCTGAGCCAACAGGAGCAGGTGTCAAATCAGGCATGGGTGTGGACCAACAGGAGCGCATGGGCGAGTGTGAGAGAAAAACAAAAGAGAGAGGGGGGTCGATGTACAGCCCTTGTGAGGGCCTCAGGAAGTGCGTGCGGTGGGACATCGGGAGTTGGGTGGATTGTAATCGGGGCCCTGAAAGGGGCCAGGTTAGTGGTCTGGGTGGTTCAGACTCACCGCTGTGAAAACCTTAAATCTTACAAAATAATTATGCTTTCTATTCTGCAGATCTTAACACAACACAAATTTATGGTTTCTCAAGAAACTAGGATAGAAGGCTCATGGTACATTAATCACACACAAATATTGGAAACAGATACAAAGGAGTTGAAACATTTATAATGAACATACTAAAACGTGAGCAACAGATATCCATAACCCGCCATAATTAATTAAGCTGAACAGTGAATTGCTATTTAGCTTTTTATGTTATGGAACCAAAAGTTCATTACCATTAGACACAGAAGACCACGACACACAATCAGGAATGTAAAAGTTCAATCTAAATTCTACAAGGTAAAAACTACATATTTTAAATTTCAAAAATAGTATTATAATTAATACATACCACCTATATGGGCATCCCTGCTGGTATATTCTAAGGTGCCATCATGTGCTTTGCGCTGGTCAAAGCGGTACTCCTTATGGACACCATTTTGATCTATATAGCGACATGCTAGACCAAAATCTAGCAGGTAAACACAATTCTCAGTACCCTTATGATACCCCAGCAGCAAATTTGGGCCTTTTATGTCTGCATGGATATAGCCATGACTATGGATGTATTCTAATGTGTTCAGCTGCAAAAAACAAGACAATGTTTATTAAAAAAATGTATTTTCCAAAACAAATATGCATAAAATAATACTGAATCATTTAATATACATTAATATTTACATAAACTATAAGAAATATTACAATAAGAAAAAAATTGTGAATAATTTTCTGAAAATTGTGAACTCTATAGTTCCATGGAGACATTATGAGATGCATAATAATAACCTGCTAATCACACACCAATCCACTAAAAGAAATTTCACTCCTACAGCCACTACAAACATGATATAACTCTAAACAACATATTTCTTCAACATGATACAAAAACAACTCAACTATCATTGTTATAGTACAGCAATCACTTAAAAAACACAACAAGCATTTCATATAAGCCCTTTCAATCTACAGCAATAAAGGTACGTTTCCATATAACATGCTGCAGGACAAACTCCCATTTAATGTACCAAAATCAGCAACATTTTGTATGGCAGTATAACACTCACTACATGGAAACAGAGTAAATGTTCACATCAATAAGAAATTATTTCCAATTTGCTATGCAATAAAATTCACCTATCTTTCAACTTGGATTAGAATGAAACATATAACTTAAAATTACAATTATATATGAAGTGAATTGCTTCAAATAGGAAATCTGGCAGCACCATTTAAATAAATTTGTAAATATACGAAACTATGTAAGATGGCATAACATCCATACAAATGCTACTACAAATTATCTAGGGTTTTAAATAATTCTTACAATTATACTCCTAAGTCAAAAATATTAGGAGTTATACACAAAGAAATTATTAAAACCTACTACTACATTCAGAAGACAATTTAGCCACAGGCGGAAACTTTTCAGGTAACAAAGACAATGGAATTTTGTCATACCTTCACTGCATAACAAAAACAGAAGAAAACTTCTATAGCATACATGTCAACTACAAAATCAAGTCACATGATAACAAAAATAACATACAAACTGCACAGTCAAAATTTAATTGCTTCTTTAGAATCAATGAATTCTGCAAACAATTCTCAGTTTCTTTTCTTACCTCAAACTAAATAAAAAGTTAAAAGTACTTACACAGCCTAAATACAAACTTACAGTGCACAAGCAATATATGCTGGCTGATAATAATTACAATGTAGACAGTATAATATGTGTAAAGAAGCACTGTCTGACCAACATTACAGCATCTTCCCTCATCTATAACTTCACAGATTATATCATTATAAAATTAAAAAGTAACATTTACTTACTATTTGTATGCCAAGATAAAATACAGTCTTAACTGGGAACATTTTGCCATTCTGTAGGAACAATTTGCCGAGATCCTGACCAAATCTCTGTAGTACCAGAAAGCGATACTTTTCCCCTCTGTAGACATGTGAGCCAGAGCCTATGTAGGGGGATAATCCCACATGTTTCAATCTCCTCCTCCTCTTCCACTCATCAACTGAAAACCCAGAGAGAAAAGCTCATTCTACTTATATTATAGATTCCATTAATTGCTCCAGCCACCTTTGTATGAATAGCAATTCCACAGAAATTTCTCAATCATACTGCTATAATTCAGGTGTCAGAACCAAATTAAAATAATCACATGTATCTATCACTATCTAATTTTCTTCCTAGCATTCTCATTTTCCAAGCTATATTATCTCATTTTGTTATCTGCATAAGTAGTGTGAGCCACATGCTTTAATATGAACACATAAATACCTCATCTCAAAATAAAAATTAGACAGTATCTTATACAGAAATAAATACTGTAGACTGACAATATGAATAATATGCATTCTACATATTCTTCAAAACACAACCAATTTTCCAGAATTTTAAATAAGAATGTTCACAAAGAGCCATGCAGAAAAACACGCTTTACAAGGTGAGGCATGTTTCATGTCCAGACCACTAAAAACATACAAACTTTTAAAGAGATCTGTCCAAAATGAAGTCAAAAATATAAACAATACTTACTCATATCTGTTTTTGCCGCTCTCAGGTAGAAATTTATTTCCACAAAAAGTGGTCCATTTTTATGTGGTTCTACTTTTACTACATGCTGAGCATCAGAACCCACAGGTTTGTAAGTACTGGTAGAAGCTAAAATACAAATGATAAATTATTTTTAATATATTAATATACATTTTCGTTTCAGTCTACTATATCAGCACCCAAATTATGTTATTATTATAAGAAGGATGACAGTCTTTCAATTTGCATCATGTCCCCAGCACCAAATGCCACTACTGCTCCCATCACCAATTACAAGAATACATTCTCACTCAGATGTTTACACAGGAGTAAATTACATGCCAGAATACTAAGCTAACAAAATGGCTATACAACCATATACCAATATATCACCTGAACCACTGTTGCAAGATACAGACCAGTTGGCATAGGTTGCAGCTGTGGCAGTATGCTATGGGAAACAAAACAAAATTTTAAAAAGTTTGCCAACTTCTCTCTAAAATCTTTCATGTGTATGAAGAGGCCAGTCAAACTAAAAAATAAATTATTATATAACTTAATGATCCATCTTTCTGTAAATTTTCAGATAGTACACCATAGTTATGAAAAGAGTTAAGCCTACATCATAATTATATTTGCAACTGGCAATGTAGAACAATTTTCATACAAACTATACCAAATTTCACTTGTATAGACATCATCAAGAATTTATAAGTTTCCATGAAATTCAAGGTACATTTATATTTCACAATACAATGTCCAAAAAGGTAAACATTACTTCTGAAACTATCCAACTTCATGGAGTGAAATTCTTCTTGAGAAGCTAACAGTTGCTTGGCTGGTCAAGAAACTTGCTACTTCTCAAGGAACCTGAAGGTTCACCATCAGTTCAAACCAATCTACTGCTTGACCCTATCCTGAGTCAGATGAATCTAGTCCATATCTTCATATCCTACCTCTTTAAGGACCATTTTAATATAGCCTCCCTATCTAGGCACATTTCTTACCACTCTTATGCATGCTACACTACACTGGTTGCTGCCTTTCCTAGTGGTAAATTGCAGCAACAAAGCTGAGTGACATTTACTTACATATGTTATATATGTTGAAAAATATTCCCCATTAGCATGGATACTTTCCTCACACCTTCTTAACATATTTTGGTTCATGCTACAGTTGTTCTCAAGATATATTGACAAGACACCTCTTACAACTATCTATTGTTATAAAATAATGTTCCTCAGAAACATCATGAAACTAATCTTCAAGAGCATATATAATGACTATAACACAGTGTCTCACTTGCTGTGGAACCCACCACAAAAGTACATTGCAGCTGCTGCAGCAAGCAAAGTACTGAGAAGTAAGTTAATTACAATGCAGAACATAGCCATTGCATGCTAGTAGGTGTAGAAGCTCTGAATTGTGTGAGCCTTTCTATATTACATCAATTGTTTGACACTGGTTCTTAAGACCAACTTACCAAGATAAATTTCACCAAATCCTCCAACACCAATTGATCTGCCAAGCTTCCATTGGTTCTTGGTAATATCAGTCAATATCTCTCCCACACAAATTGGATCAGGCAATCTATTACCATTTGAAGCAAATCTCTTCTTCGGTTCTATTTCTGCTCCAGTAGCAGGTTCTGCAGTTCGGCGAGGCATTACGAGAAGGCCAAGCACACTGGCAACACAATTAATCTCCAAATACTGTCTACTGAGATGAACTGATAATGGTTTCAATTAATTCTTCTTTCTTCATGCAAAGACAACAGAAATGTCCTATTTATGAAGGTTATTAAATATCAAAACCTGATTTATCCACACCAAAAGTTAATCTTGTCCACCTACTTCTATACAAAACGCCTTAGACAAGCCCAAGACTGGCCTGTCAAAAACAGACCACGTACTACACAACACACAGGGCTTAATAACACAAAAATTATTTAATACGATTGTAACTAATTAGAAACAAACACACTTATTACAAACGATCAGAATGTAATATCTTCACATGGTTAAGCTATTCGGTAACTTACCGCTGCCGACAATAATAACAATACAAGAATAAGCAAATGGGGAACAACAAAAAAGTCACATCCACAGCACCAGATTTAATATATTCGGATAAAGTAATAATGATATAAAACTTAAGATACCAAATTAAAGTTTCACTCTATTTTGCTAAGCTTATTTTGAAAGGTAACCGATCCTTTGTCATAACAAACAACCACCTCTGTCGATTTGCTGTCAGACTAGGATACGTTCAATAAGTTTTTCTTCATCTGGTATCGATTGAGTTGCAACATGTTCCAACCTGCAGCGCTCCTAAACCGTCATGTCGGTGACATCATTACATTGTTTTTGATCTGATTGGCGACTACCAGTAACGTCTGTGATGCTGTTGGGCACTATAGGTTTTTTGAAAGTGTGATGGGAGAAAGTAAGGTGTCATAATACTAACGGCCACATACCAAACTGAACTGCGTAAATCATCACCTTTGATCATAATAATACATTTTAATTAATTCATACTGTGTGAATGTTCTTCAGTCTTCAAACACCAAGTTATGCTGCTCACTATTAATGCCTATTAAAGTCCGCTAAAAACATATTTTTAATTGAACTAGAGTGTTTAAGCTCTACTTGATTCTTGCGTACGTTGGAGGATGATCACGTATGACATAACATTAGCTGCACATGAACACACCCACTATTGAGAGAGGGCATCATAAGATTGAACGGAATGACCCGACAAAACATATTATGAAACAATAAATATTGTTGCCTATTCTAGGATGTTGAAAAACGCACTTCTGCGTTTGAGAGGCTGCGTATCAGAGCTGAATAAGTTTTAACCGACCACATGACTTTCTTCGAGTTGCTCAGTCAGTATAATGGCATGCTATGGGTTGGACGATCGACGTTCGATCCTCGACAGGGGCAAAGGATTTTCTTCTAGCCTCTGGGTCCAGACCTGCGCTTAGGCCCACCCATTCTCCTAAGCAATAGGTACCGGTTGTCCTTTCTCAGGGGGTAAAGCGCGACCGGGTCGTGACACTGACCACTCACCCACATCTAGAGGCAAGATTGAGAATGAGTAAGAGCTATACCTCACCTTTCCCGTGCGTTTACATGGCGAGAAAAAGGGATGGCTATGGCTGTTTTTAAGTCGCACCTTGTTTTGGAAGAAGAGTAAAATTATATAATTTTTGACACATGACAAGAAAATTATATAGTTCTGAATATGTCTGTTTTCTGGATTGTTGCGATGTGCAGTCTACCACATTTCCTTTTAAGAATTGTCTGAAACAAGGCACAATTTTTATCACTATTGCTTTTCAATTCTGCCTCAGAATATACAATTAGTATGATCCATGAAAACAAAGAAGGATGTGGAATTGAATGGGATACAACAGGTTCTCGTCTGTGCTGACGACAGTTTATTGTGCAAAAACATAACTATTATTAAAGAGAGAAATAGAAGCTCTATTAGATTCTAGTAGGGAAGTTCATTTTCTACAAGTAGAAGCAAAGAAAATTTATAGATGGTTTTCTTCTGGGGGTACCATCTAAACCAGCGTTTCTCAACCGGGGTTCCGCGAGAAATACTGATGAATAGGCTAATCATGTAAATGTATTTTTGAGTTATTACTTATCAATGGGCTTTACATGGACTGGTGATCCAGGTTTTCCTATTCCATTGTGCCTCATCTGTGGCAAACAACTTTCAAATGCAGCAATGGCTCCAGCAAAATTGAAAAGACACTTCACGACAAATCATAGTCATATGAAAAATAAAAGTGCTGATTATTTTAAAATGCTATTGGAATATCAAAATAAACAGAGTACAGAAATTGTCTCCTTTCAGCTGAAGATGAAATCTGTGTGTGTTTATCTAAAGTTTTACCCCAAATTAAGTATTTGTGTACCAAAAGACAAGCACAGGTTTCACATTAGAAAAGTAAATTTTATTATTTAAATTGGCTTCAAAAATAACATTTCCTTGATATGACATTTTACCTTGATTTATCTTATGCCTTTTTAACATTGTCAATAAATGATTAAGTTATTATAGTAGTTATATGTTTTTGTTCTGTTTATATGCGTTATATATGATATTGGTTACTTATGTTTATTTTTTTGTGTTTACAGATATGGGGTTAATTTATTGTGTGAAATAAAACCTCCATATGAGGTCTCTTGAACAGGCAGTTTGATTTCAGTTTTTTTTATTGTTAATAAACTTGAGAAAAACTTAAGTTATTTTTTGCTTAAACCAGTTATCAGAAAAAATATATTATGTTTTCCTTATGAATGTTAAGTTTATAAAAGAAAAAGAAAGATATTAATAATGATATATAATAATTTTTTGTAGGGGTTCCCTGAGACATGAATATTATTTCAAGGGTAAAAAGGTTGAGAAACGCTGATGTAAACCTGCAAAGTATATGTTCGTGTCTCATCACCATATTATAGGACAAAATAATTATAATAATGTAATTAAATCCTTACAAAACGTGGAATCATGGTAAGAAAACAAAATTTCACTCAATATTGATATATAGTCATAATCAGTTATGGCACCACACCTTTCTCCCCATCAATATCAGCATTAAAGTTGGAGAGATGGTAAATTTAAACTGTTTCTGTCTCAAGGGTATTTTTTACTTTTTAATGTATGTATTAGTGCCATATCATGAGTGACATAGTTAGGGTCTCAAGGGCAAAATAAAAGGCAATATTGCAGTCTGTCCCAACTTACTATAATAATTTATTTGGAACAAAATACATACTGATGTCTGTTCTTATTTTAATTTTAATTTTACCAATGGCATTGTTCACAAAACAATAACTGAATTACACCCATACTAATGAAGTTCTGTTCTATGTTTAGTCAAACCCTAGGACATTGCTCTCTGTAGGCATATGCATCTCTTTTCTCACCAACACTTAACACTGTCCACTTCCCCATGTCAAATGAAAATGATTGCGATTATACGCTATGTACTCGTATTACTTCCTTACTGTGACCAGCCTGGTAATTGTGTTCAGTTCAGATGTGTCCACATTGTTATTTACACAAAGTGTGGAAACATTTTCATTATGGTACAGACCACTACCTTGTCAAGCAGCAAAATAGGAGTGGATTTGTAATTGTTCTACCAGAATTCTTGAAATGTTATTGTCAACTGTACGGAGCTTTTCTGGGTAATGTTTCCATTTTCAAACCAAATCCCCTTCCAGTAGCATGTTCACTTGTAACTACCTGGATCTGAAATGTTTCATCTACACCCATGACCCAAAATAACCACTCAACTCCCTCCCAGAGTTACTATAGGTGGTATCATACCTACCTCATAAGTAGGTTTATTTGTTAATGTAGAAGTCAATGCGCAGCTAAGGGAAATGTCTGTACAGCCAGTGAAAACAAATGGCATTGCACTGTATCATACTTAATGGTATATCTGGACTGCCACGGATGTTAGCCAATGGCAGCCGGTGGGAATGGTACTTTGAAATTACTCAGGAATTTCTGTTTCAAGAATTTCATGGTTTCAATCAGGGAAAACATTTAGTTGGAAAGCCTGAAGGGAAAGACCACTCAGAAGACATAGGTGTAGATGGGAACCTAATGTTAAACTGTATCTCATAAAAACAGGTTAGGTGTGGACTGGATTCATCTGGACCATGACAGGGATCAGTAGAAAATGTTTGTTGCAGTAATGAAGCATTGGGTTTCATAAAAGTTGAGAAATTTCTTTACCAACAGAATCTACAACTTCTCAAGGACTCTACTCCAATGACTTAATCTATACATTCATAAATATATGAAGTAGAATTTGAGGTTCTCACAACAGTGAGTATGAAGATGGCTTTCTTCTAGGTTGTAATGCCATGTAGCCTGGTAAAGTTTACCACTGTTTCAGAGGTCCTTGCTGCCTCCATTCAGGGTAATGAGTAAACAACCCAGAAGACAAACATCTTCATGACAAGATGAAATCAAAACTGGTTGCAGACAGTAACTGTATTACTGCTGATTGATTTAATAATAAAGTGCAGAAATGATATTCTTGAAACAATCCTGACTAACTGCAACTTCGTTTTAAACCAGGTAAATAAATCATGAAAATGCAGAGGATATTGCAAATCAAAATCACAGCTTCCACATTAATACAACTACAGTACTTTATTAAATATTCCAATGGTATATATTTCTCATACACAAAAATATGGCTATTATAAGTCTCTGTATTATCACAAACAGTGCAATGAATCACTATGAAGGAAAGCAATATATTATTTTTATTATACATGTGTGTGTATATAATCACTTAATAATGGAAATTTAGTCGCACACTATATTCAAGTTATTATGCTTGTTTCAAAATAGTTTAGGAGTTGGCATAAAAGGCTTTAGCATTAGCAGCTAATTATAAAGCTACAATGTATTTCAAAACTGTTCACAGCACAGTATCAACGAGGATCTGTGCAATGGTCTAATTCAGTGGTTGTGAAGAATTACTTTGGTTGCATTTAACAACAAAAAAGAAATTACAATGGCACATAAAAGAACAAAACTATTTTCAATGGCTACTGGCTACATTAAGTATGTTCATACAAATGATACAAAAAAGGATACATATTGAAGGTAACCATGAAGAAAAGCCCAAGATTACATAAAACTTTATATAACACCCGACTTTCATACACTACTTATGAAAATAGCCAGTGGCCATACATCAGAACTGCTTTGGCCACACCTGAGAATATCAACTCTAGCACAGGCATTCAATGCATTTCAGTCTTACAGGATATCAAAATTACTCTCCATGTTCTGAAACTTTTAGCGAGTGAGACAATAAACTGATTCTAAAGTGAATTATTATGCATTTTAAATACCTTGAAATTCATAATTATTTAAGTGTTTATTTATTCATGTACCAGTAACTTCTCCATATAACACTTAACCCATAATAAATGCAGCTTGCTTAAGCTTTGATTAAATATTTGTAAGAATACTGGGGAACAACAACAACAACAGAATTACCAACCACCAAAGCTCTAATCACCTTCTGAGGGCAAAATTTCAAATTTCAAACCATGCTTATCCAACTCCTCAATCAGGGTTGTCTTCGCAAATGCTGCCCCTGGAGGATACACTCCACCCCTGAAAAAATAATAATAATGCTCAGTTTTAATCACACAATAATATACATAACGTTACAATACACAGGAATCCTGTTGGTCATTCAGATTTTCTGTGAATTTTCCAACTTTATTTTTTCCCTTCAATGTGAATGAAAGTTGATTTAGTAATTTGTAGTAAAACATCTGACAGTACTCTTTCAGATAAAACTCTCAAAATTTTATTGAACATGCCGAATTTATTGAACAAAGTAATAATGAACTAATTATTCAGAATCAAGTAAAATTAAAATATTATGTTTTATTTCTTATATTTTCAAATGAAATAGTCTTCACACCTTTCTAGGTATCACAACAGTGCACATGCTCAACCAATTACATTAGGTAAGCCATAGTTCTGTATTTAACAAAAAGTCAACATCACTGATGTAAAAACTGAATGTTCATGAAATACTACCAGAACTACAATGTTTATTCATACGATTTTCTGAATGTCAATGTGTTTTTCTGACTGACTCTATGGCGCAACAGCCTGAAGCCAAGCCTTGGCCTCCTCCCATGTAAGAGGTTTCTTTGTCTTTGAAGTGTACATTCATGAGTAGTGAGTAACAAGCCCACTGCCTCTGCACAATTTATACTCAATCCTGATTTGTGCTAGAGCCATCTAGTAGTGAATCAGGAGAGACATTGGTGGAAACTTTCCGCTGAATTTTGCTTATAAAACACCTCGTTCATGCTTATAAGGTTCTTTTACATGCCGTAAATCTGTGATATGGGACCGCCAGCTTTACTTCTCCTCCGAAGGAAGTTGTGTTACAGATTTTTATCACCATTAAAAATCCATCAACCTTGGCCAGGTTTGAATCTGCGAACCTTGGGTCTGGTGGCAAGCACACAAACCATTAGTCCACCAAGGGTGACCAATGTGTTTTTCAACACCACTAATTAAACAGTGAAGTGCTATCTAAAACATCCAAGGAACATTAAGGTTACTTAATACTGTCCTATTTCTCTATTTAAAATTGCAGATTTTATTAACAGAAATAAATAACCTTATTTAAGTGCAGAGAGCAGTACTAAGTCATAAAAGTCCTACCCTAATGTACATTTAAGGGAAAATGTTTCCTTTAGAATACCCATATATGTTCACTTCACTTAGAATATTCAATCTCTGAATGAAATGTGATTTATTTTGTGATATTACCTGCCAGGCATCTTGTCACTTTCCCTCAAGATGGTGACTGCACTTAGAAGCAGAATTAGAGAGGTCAATCCATAAAATGGATCCTCCCCAGATATCTGAAAACAATGCACCTTAATTGAGCAACTGCCCACATTCCCCCCCCCCCCCCCCCCAAATCATCAATAATACAAGCACTTTCAACATGCCCATCAACATGGTGACCATTGACAGGTGATAAGATATCATCATGATGCAGATTATGGATATCATTATCAATATTTTGATCATTACCTGATCGTTAACTATACTCAACACCTTAAGTTTTTCAGCAAGTTTTTCTCTTTCTAGGACGCCTGAAACAACTAGATTTCAGTTTCCCTGCTACAGGATATTGTAGAGTATAGTTTATTTACATTCCATAGATCCTTCTTAGGACTCACCCAAAGGATGTAGATCATGTCATTTCATACAATATACATAAACCTCAGAATTTTAAATAGAAACACAAAACTTGCTTTACATACAGATTATAGATATATATAAAGCTTAAAAATTTTCAGCAGAGATGAAATCATCTACAGAATAGAAAGAGAGAGTGAAGAGGTAATTTTTCAATGCAGGCTTGAATACCTTTATATCATAATTTAGACTTTTAATTGTTGGTGGAAGATTATTAAATAACTTGATACCTGTGTAGTACACTTCTTTTTTACATTTAGTAAAGTTAGCATTTGGCACATATAGATCATGTTTACGTCTTGTATTTAAATTATGCACATATTTGGTTGCATAATGAAATCATAATTCATATGCATACATGAGGAATGGACATGCGTTGACTACTTGGTGACAAGTTGTGTAAAATGAATCATAAAATGAAACACATATCAAGTCTTGCAAACAAACTCCACATGCACCTCTAGAAGATACAGTACCAAAATAAGTTTAATCAAAACATATAACTATAAATAAATCATGTGTTCCTTGTATGAAATTAACACATACAAAGCTGGTCATGTCTATCTGTCTTTGCCTGCATAATTCAACTTGAGAACCACTGGATGGATTCAAATGAAATTTGGTATGGACATTATGCCATTACATAATATCAACATGATGCACAAGCACCATCAAATTTCATCCAAATCTGTAGAGTAATTTTCAAGTTAAATTAATCAGACAGACATGCCCAGCCCCAATATGCTTTCATTTCATACAGTTTATGTAATGAACACACAAATTGGTCTTAAGATACCAGTCAATTTTGTAAAACACACTGTCATAATTAATGTCATGTGATGACTATCCTGAAGAGAATTCCAAAAAGATGTTCTAGAAATGTTTTGAACAGTGGAAACACTGACTAAGTTACTGGTATACAAGGAGATTACTTCGAAAGTAAGAGCAACCATTAATGTGTAAATAATCAAATACAGCTTTTATTACGGCATTCCAGGGACTGAACTGTCATACCATCATTTTTCCCCATAATCCTATTATGCTGTTACCTTCATTAACAAAAGGTATGAGAATGTCAGCTCACTAGCATCATTTCAGGGATGCAATCACATCTTGGTCCATGGGCTATTTAACAGCCGTTACATTGGGGGTCAAAAGCTTTACAACAGTGGAAGTTAGTATCCTCTCTTTTGTGCAATAAGGGGCAATGTCTCGCAGCAACACTATTGTGGTAATCCAGAACAAATGCCTGCAGAATCAATTTTCAAAGGCCCCCTATCTATCCCTGCTCTTTTCTTGTTTTAATAATGGACAGG